AATTTCTGTCTTTTCGAAATAATTCAAATATTAAATTCCATTTCAAATCCGTGGTCAATGTAGTAATAGACGACCCCTCGGCGCCAGATATATTGACGTCAACGCCAAATTTGGAGAATATTTGAAGGAGGAATAAGAAGTTAGCAGATGCGAATTACCAATCAATGAACTCAGGAAATCAGAGGACTCAGGAAATTCGGAATTCCAGTGGAGGCGAAGATAGATGAGTTCAGTTACATAGTTGCGTGATCGTTTCTGGCAGGTAAAACTCGTTAGGTCTAATTAATCAGTAACAACTTGCATTAAAGATCAACTATGACAAATTGCTTGTTACCTTTTTCATAGCAGCAAAAGTATTTGAAAAATAGCTTCGAGGTGCGCAGAGCAAATTACGGTTCCCTTAAGCGATATTTTTTTATTATTTAAAAAATGTGTGGTTTTAAAGGTATTACACATTTGTAATCAAAAGAAAGTAGTGAAGTTGAGAAATATTTTTCCTTTTTAATAATAATTATACTTTAATTAATCTTATAAAATTTGTTTCAATAACTTCGTCAAAATGGTCAAAATTTATATAATAATTTTTTCACAAAGATTTGTGGTATTAAGATCCAGAAGAGTGTAATCAAATCCTGCAAAAATCTCATAGCAATTTATTTTACTTATAATCATCAAAATTATTAATTAAGTAACAGAAAAAATTAGAGTAAACAACTAACCAATAACGTATTATTAAAGTAATTAACACCTAATGATTTATCAGAGCCCCTCAAAGCAATGGTCTGCTACGAAGTATTTAAGAAAAATTCATTACGAGTTTCAAGTGACATTTTCCCAAATAATCTCACTGTTCAGGGAAAATTCTAATTCCTCTTCGTTGCTAGGTAACTTAAAAAAATTAGATAAAATATGTTTTTTTTTATTTACCAGATTTCTCCCAGTGGTTGTTAAGCAACAAACTTCTTCGAAAAGAAATTTCCCTTGAATAAGGAAAAATGTTCTCATACTTAGATTAACAGATCTTAAAAAAAGGAGAAATAGAAATATACATTTAAGACCATTCTAACTTATAGAGTTGTTTTTTTTTTTCATTTAAAAATCTGTTTATTATTATGGTTTCATTAACGAGATTGCAAAAAATACTTCAGTGTAAAAATGGCTTTCTCGAAATTGTGCAAGACTGTGTCAGCTCCGAAATAAGTACAGTCTACAGTCAAATTTCAAACCTCCATGCATTCATTATTGAGTATATATTATGACCGAAAGTGCATTCATTATTGATCATACCTTACAGACCATGTATTAATTATTAAGCATGTCACTATACTCAAAACATACATGGGGTTTCCAAATTCGACTATTTTTGCTTCGTAGCTATTTTGACACATTTTTGCTCAATTTTTACAAACCCTTTTAAACAGTGTTACAATGTTATAAATAAAATTCACTTGACGCAGTAGTTAATCAATACTAATTAAACAGGTGATGCCTTGTATTACGATTAATACTAAATAATTTATTATAATTGCCGGCCATGTGGCCAAGCGGTTAGTGCGCCTGACTGCGAAGCCAATAGCCACGGGTTCGAATCCCGCTCTGAGCATGGATGTTCCTCTCTCTTGTGTTGTCCTCTGTTGTGCGTGATCAGTGAATGTGGCCCACCCTATGAACGGGCTTGTGGCAGTGTGGCGTGGACAATGTTACTCGCCTCCGTGACTTTGGTTCACAGGTGCTCACTGGGTAACGCGAAATGAGTAACAACTCTGGCATCTTCTAAGGCAAAACGAATAAAATTCAGTGCCTGCCATTCGAAAAAAAAACATTTATTATAACTTATAAAGCACTTGAACAAGTTAGGGGCAAAAAGAACTAAACTTACCAATCTTACGCCACCTTCTGTTGAAATGTGTGATTTTGAGCATATTAAGTTATACATTTTTAATTAGTTATACATTTACTTAATGACACATTTGTGTTAAGAAAAGTAGGGTGAAGAATTTAAAAAAACTTTCTCTTATCTTTCTTAATATTCTTAAAATACTTTCTCTTGGAATATTGGCTTTTAAAAAAAAAATAATATAAACTAGTTTATTACCGTAAATTTCAAAAAGTTTACAAACACCCTTTCAGGAAACTTATATAAGTAACAAAATAGTAAAACTCTTTTATTTAAAAAAAAATGCATCCTACATCGCTGTACAAAGCAGCTGAGAAGGAGCTACACTTTTCAAATCATTCAATGCGCGGACAATATATATGATATGACGAGATTATTATTTAAAAGGCGTGCTGGTAGTAGGTTTTAAAAGTAGATTCTTAAGATTCCTTTTTAAGATTCTCCCAATTTTTAATAGTTTAACATTTGCAGATGAATATACTCTTTGATTTGAAAGAAATAAATCATGGAGAAATTAGAAACCCATTGATATTTACTTCGCTTTCGTTTGAAAAAAAATTACTGACAAGGGAGACTAGGAAAGTGTGACTCGATAATTGGATGTATGCCTTATGAGGAATAATTTTAGGGGGCAACATTCGTTTCGGCCCATAGAAGGTCCTATGAGAGATAAAAAATAATTCAATATATAGAAAAATCGGTATTTTATTACTCCGATGCAGACTATTAGTTAATGTAATTATCTCATTCTCCAATTAATTTGCAATTAATTGGTGAATTAATTAATTTGCTAATTAATTAATTAGCAAATTAATAATTATTAATTGCTTAATTAATTTGCAATTAAATGCTCCAATTAATTTGGAACAAAAAAAAATTTTAAATTTGATGCCAATTTTTTTTCAAATTGACCTAACAGATATATACAATTTTTGAAATCAATTTTGACAATAAATATGCATTATATAGTACGTGAAAGTACCACAAAATTAATTGGAGTATGAGATAATTACAATAAATAATAGTCTGCATTGGAGTAAATTTTTCTATATATTGAATTATTTTTTATCTCTCATAGGACCTTCTATGGGCCGTAACGAATGTTGCCCCCTAAAATTATTCCTCATAAGGCATACATCCCATTAGTTTATTTCAAAATTGGCGAGTCACACACTTCCCTAGTCTCCCTTGTGAGTTAATGACGAAAGTGAAAACGGCGTTTTCTTTATTGAACAACTAAATTTTTTGTGAAACGCATCATTTAATTTAACTGCCTTACTTATTTATTATTAATAATTATTAGTAACATCCAATTAGCAAAAACATCAGTGTAGACAAGTACTACTACACTGATGTAATACACTGATAATAATGCTAGACAAGTTTAAACCGGGACATGAAGTTTCTCTTTGAAAGCCATCACTGTAAGTAATACTGAAGAATAGGCCTTAACCTTAAAAAACAGTGTGAATGATACCGGACTAAATAAAATATTAACCTGTTTGTTGCACCAAGAAATTACTTTCAACTAATGCTAACCAATCATGTTGTTGTTTCAATTGCCACTAGCCATGTCAGCAAGCCTACTTGGAAAATAAAGAGAATTTAAGGTAGAGGATGCGTTTCTTGTTTTTCAGTCACGCAATCTATGGTCAAGAATACGCTTTCAGCCACACACACACACGTCACAGCCCGTTTTGAAGGGTGGGCCCATTCATTCATCCACATATCGTAATTTCGGCCTGAACCAGAGAACGATCAATTTCCAATTCAGCACTCCAGGGGTATTAATTTGTTATGGGAACTTGGAGGACTTTGTGACCCAGACGGATTTAACGTGCACCAGTCATCTGTTAATTCACGGGACTTCTTCGTCCTTCTTGATTCGTATTCCCGTTTTCACGAACACGAGTCCAACGTCTTACCAACCAGGCTATCCTGGCCCACTAACCAATCACAGTAATACTAATTGAAAATATTAATCAATCCTTTTTCTTCATACTTTGCCGTTAGGGTTTCTATAAAATACTTACTCTGTAAAAAAATTCCGGATTAAACTACGGCATAAAGTACCAGCATTTTGGATATATCATCCATAAAATCTCTCCCGTAAAATTCACTTTTAACGCAAAATATTATACAGTTGATTTTACAGTAATATTTATTTAAAAAGAGTGATTCAGTGGTCTTACGATAATTATTACCGTAAAAATTACGATACATCAGATTTTATGTTCCGTAATATGTTTCGGTAAAAATTGATTTTACGGTAAAAAGTACTGTCAACCTGAGTGCCGAGTCTTTTTACATTAATTCGATCCGAAATTTTTACAGTGTATATGTTTACCAAAATTTGAAAATTACTATCAACGAATGGTAGATGTATATATGTTATACTATTTGGTGTCTTGGATTAGTTATAAATGTATATTTCATACTACCGACACTCAGTACCGGTACATTTCACAGTAATTTGATCCGGAATTTTTTTTTCAGTGTAGGTCACTCGCTGTCCCCAAACTATCCCTTGCATTAAAGAAGCTTGGTGTATAATACTTAGAATAAAATAAAAATTTAAACTTTCAAAGAAATCAATTTTTGAAAAAATAAAAATGCATATTTTTAAAGAGAAAAATAAATACGCAGAAAGTTTACCAATAGGCAGCTTACAACGTGACAATGGAATTTCATTATTCAGGCTGACAAAAATTTCAGATTTATTTCATTTCTTTATCCCTTTTCTAATATAAATGTACTTTTTTATTTTAATAAATGATTTTTTACTACATACATTAAATTATATAATATATTATACATTAAATTATAATTTATGCATTAAATTATATAATTATATTACTGGGAAATATACAATAGATATTTTTTTAAACCGCCTTGGAAAATATTACGAAAAACTTTACTTACTGTTAATGAAGCTATTAATAAGAAAATTTTTACTTAAACCTTTTGATTTCAATAAGAAAAATCCATGCCTTTTTCTTAATATTTTTTTCTCTGTCAACCAATTCCTCCAAATTACTGACATATCCTCTTTCTACTAACTGATCTGTTGAAAAGAATAATTCATTATTCTTTTTTTTTTCAGGAACAAGAGGGTGGACCAGTAAATGTTTTTAAGAAATTATCATCGCAAGAAGATGAAGAAAGTGAATTGGAAGAGACTGCTCATGCTCCACCGGCATCTGTTCTACATCGTCGAAGGGCTCTTGTTCCACCAAAGGTATTTTTTCTTTTTTACTTTTTAATACTTTTCTTTTGGAGAATATTTGTGGATTAGATGAAAAATGTAATCAATGGTTCATTTTTCTTTCTCATTATATGGTATTAATTGCTTTGCTTTTCTCGGTTCTTTGAGGAAATCTTTTGACGTTATGGAATTTTTTATGTCTGAAATTTTTTTCATATCATTTTCTGATTGCTTTTGTACTTACAATCATTATTGGATAAAATAGTCGTTCATTTTCTTTGAATCGATCGATTTATCCATAGGTAAAAAAAATCAGAAGGGAAAAAAGTAGGTGTGTAATAATTATAAGCAAAGAAGCTTACTTTTTTTTGATCATTTTGAGCTATGCTTTTTTTTTATGGTAAAAAAAAAAAAATAGTGAAGACAATATGGGTCATAACGAAGTTTAGCTACAACACGCAGAAGTAAAACTCTCATTTTTGACAATTCAGCAATCCAAGAGCTATATTTCGTTGATTTTGAGAATTATTTCGTCATGAAATCAAGTGATTTGTGACGAAACGGTAACTTTCAAATGTAAAACAAAAATGCTTTCTTAACTCGAAACCTCATCGTAGCGCGATGTAGAAAATTGTCAACTAGAATGATTAAACTAAGATAAAGACTAAACGATCAAAATTAAATGGCGTAATAAGCTTTCGTACCAGGAAGAACAAGGGTTCGAATCCCACTTAGGGTATGCACGCAGTTTATCTCTTTGTTCCATTTGTCTTTCTTTTGCTATTAAGATGGCATCGTTCTAGCTATTATATACGATCCACGATAAAGTGGTTATTAGAAAAGTTAGATATATTTAGACGCTACGAGTTCTTCTTTTTTCTTTTCTTTTTTTTTTTTTTTTTTTTTAAAANTTTTTTTGTTTTTTTTTTTTTTTTTTTTTTTGAAAAAAATAGAATAACGAAATACTTCTTTTACTCTTGATGAAATTCATTTCCTGGAAGACGATAGTTAATTTGTCACTGGCGAAATGTTCGCTTGGAGCATATACCAGGAAACGGTTTCGTCAAAAACGAAGAAGACTCCGGAAATTTGTATATGCATTGTAAAAAATATTAATTTTATTCTATTACAAATGTTATACCTTAACAATATTTAGCTAAAAACAATATTTACTTCAGTAGCGTTACAATCAATAAATTTATGCCTGTGATTATTCACTTCAAATAGAGGTTGAGCAATTAAATAAGTAATTGTGGTTGATTAAAGTAGAAATTCAACCAAATCATTTTCCCCTCAAACATTAGTTGAATTTAGTTTAGTATGATTCGCAAATGCCAGTTACAAAAGCTTAATTATAAGAAAATTTGACGTAACAACCTAATTTACCTGAGCAGTAGTAGAAATGAAAAAATTATAATTTGTAATGGCGGGATAATTTAACTTGTTCATAAAAGTTATTTTTAATTACTATCGCGCAATTAAGTTAGAGTTTCAGTGCACTTATAAGTTGCAAGGTATATATTAAGTTCTTTATTTTATTTTATTTTATTTTTCTACATCTTGTTTTATTTTTCTTCGCTTTATTTAATTTTTTAATTTATTTATTTTTTATTTTTATTTTTTTGTTTAATAGGTATATTTTTTATTTTAATTTTCTTAAAATTTTATTTTTTTTAACATATTTTGCCTATTTTCATTTAATTTTTTATTTTGATATATATATATTTTTATTTATTTTTTTCAATTGTGTTTTATTTTTATATGTTGCTTATTATTTTTTTAATTTAATTTTTTCATTTTCTCTCTTTTTATTTTAATAGGTATAATTTTACTTCATTTTCAATTTTACTTTATTTATTTTTTTATTTTAATGTTATTTTTATTTATTTTAATGTTATTTTTATTTATTTTTATGAATTTTTATTTTATTTTTTTATTTACTTACTTATTTTTATTTATTCTATTTACTTTATTTATTTATTTTATTTTAATGTTATTTTTATTTAATATTATTTTTATTTATTTCAGTGCTATTTTTATTTATTTTAATGTTATTTTTGTTTATTCATATAAATTTTTATTTATTCTTATAAATTTTTATTTTGCTCTTTTTTGATTTACTTACTTATTTTTATTTATTTATTTACTTTATTTATTTATTTTATTTTGCGTTTTTATTTGTTTTATTTATTTTACTTACTTAATTTAATCTTATATATTTATTTATTTTACTTTATATTTAATTTATTTTATTTCAATTTTTATTTATTTATTTTTTAAGTTTTTTTATTTATTTATTTCATTTCATTTCATTTGTTTATTTTATCTTATTTATTTTTGTAAATTTCGAAGAATCTCTCATATATTTAAGTAGGAGCAAAGCCTTTTATTTCAAATGCATAAAAAAAATACTAATAAATAAAAAATAAATTGTTCGGAAACATTTTACATCGGCTCAGGAAAACTTTATTCTCCTCCCAAATAACCTACTTTTATTTTTTCAAAAACATGGTTTTGAAATACAAAATTGTCAACAGGAAAAAATTTCCATCATTTCAAAATACGCAAAATACTGTTGAATTTATTTTTCATCTTTTATTTGAAGTTAAAGGAAGGCAAAAGAAAAATTCAGCCGCAAATACTTCTGGAACTATCCCAGAAAAGTGATAACTTAAACTCGAAGTTTGGAACTAAATTTACCCCCTACCTTCGCGACATCACAATAAAACATTCTATTTCAGATTTTGATCGAAACCAGATAGGGGGGACACTTGAATGAAGCTCGATATGGCGTAAATTTATACTTTTGATTTCAAAGAAGATTGCGGGATTTAAATTGAACCTTCTCAAATATTCCATTTTCGAAGAGCGAATCAGATAGATGAATACAGTGCGCAAAAAAATAAACGGACCACAGTGAATAACTTCTGATCTAATGATCGGATCTTCACGTTCTAGGTATCAATCTTAGTGGTTCGAGAGGAAGACCTCAAATATGCTAATTAATAATTGCAGATGATTTTTTAAGTTACGAAATCAGACACAATAACATACCTTCACATACCAGACTCATACCTTTTTTCAACAGAAATGGACTTCTGACACCAAATATATGAGGGGTAGCCTTGATCTGAGAAATATGGTCCCCATAGCTTGGTTAGGAGAGCGATCCAAAGTTTGGACCCCTTCAATAAATATTAAAATTAATTTAATACTATTAATTATAAAAATAAATTTCAATAAATATTTGTTATTTTTTATTATTCCATTTTATAATAGACGAAAAAATTTGAATTTCAAGATCTAAAAAATTTTTACATCCTTTTAAAGTATCTAATTTTTCATGGCAAAATGCAAAATTTGAGTGAAATCGGTTGATTAATTCCTGAGAAGTAGAATTCTAAATATAGAACCTTTCTAAAATTTGATTTCTCAGAAACTATTCTACTGATTTCACTCAAATTTTACATTTTGCCATGAAAAATTAAATACTTTAAAAATGATGTAAAAAAAATTTTGTATCTTGCAATTAAATTTTTTTTCGTCTATTATTAAATAAAATAATAATAAATATTTATTCAAATTTATTTTTTGCATGGAATTATCTTTAAACAAACGAATTTTTTAATTGTGTGCAAAATTTCTTTTCATTTGCTTAAAAAGTGCTAGAGATATGGTAAAACTTTCAAAAAGTAAAACTAACATTAAGGGGATTATTGTTTAAAAGAGGGGTTATTGTTAAAACTATTGGGACCATATTTCCCAGAGTGCGGCTACCCCCTATATTTCGGAGGTTAGAAATCTGAATCCGTTGAAAAAAAGGTATGTTTATTCAGAGAAAGTACGCTACTTAAAACTTCGTCTGTATTTTTTTAATTAGCATATTTAAGGTCAGCCCTTCGAACCATTAAGATTGGGTCCTGGAAAGTCAAGATCAGATCATTAGATCAAAAGTTATTCTGGATTGTCCATTTTTCTTCTTTCTTTTTTTTCCTTTTTTTATACGCACTGTACACGCAGAACATTTCTTGTTTGATATTAATATACATTTCGTGTTTTGTACTAAAAAGTTTAAGAATATTAAAAAAAATAACTGGCTACAAAAGCATGAATAAAAGTAAAAATATTAAAAAATAATTTGCTAGCAAAAGCATGAATAAAATAAACACTTAAAGAAATAAATAAAAAATAAAAGCACACGATAAAAATAAAAGCACGAGACAATTTTTAGAACAACAGAGTTGTTGGTTTTCTAGAGATTAGTTTTGTTTTGGAATTTGAGTTTTCTTACAGCCCGTTACTGGTTTTTCTAGTTTGTTTTACAAGACTAGTTTGTTTTCTAGTTTGTTTTACAAGTAACTATCCCGTTACGGGTACTCCATTTTTGTTACTGTTTGTGTTTGTGAATAATTTTTTTCTTTTTTTTGTAAAAAATAGAACTGTTATTTATATAGCTTGATACGTAACAGTACGCTTATTTACAACTTTTTTTCCCTTCTTATAAACTAAATTTGAAATTGTTTATTAAAAAAATTTACTATTCATGTTTTAAAATTCTATAGAATGAAAATTTCTTAACCTGTTCCCTACTGGAGTATAAAGGATAGCAAAAAAATATTTTACAGTTCTGAATTTATTTTTTACTGCCATAAGTCATAATAAGATAAAACTAAACTAAACTCAGTGGCGTGATAGCCCATGGAGTGCCAAGGCCTACTATGCGCATCTCAGGTTTCTTGACCTAGGGCTCTGGGGAACCCCCGATGTTTAGTTCCCAAGCATGCTCATTTATCGACTCACTGAAGGGATGAAAGGCAGAATCAACCTTGCCCAGCCTGCGGATCGAACCCAGGACCTGTGGCACGGGAGAGCGAAGCGCTACCACTCAGCCACCGGGCGTCCATTATGAGATAAACAAAATATAAATTATACTGCAAGTGGGCTAGCAATTTCAGGTACTCCCCAAATAATTGTGTAAAGAAAGACTTTATTTTAAGTTAACACCAAATCAAGCCTTCATATACAATTTAACG